TGTCGAGTGTGGGTTCTTCCTCTTGGTATGCAATGTGATGGTTTGGTTAGTCATATAGACTTCGATAGGTGTAAACCCTATACCTTACTGTGTTGGTTCCTTGTCGTGCTGGGGCGAGATGTCTGAGTGGGGTTTGCTCTAATTAGGTTGAGGGGATGTAGGTTTGTTGCTTGCGTAGGGTGTGTTTGGGTTGGCTACTTGGGTTGGTTTTAGGAGGAGCTAACTTGGGTGTCTAGGAAGTCAGGGTTGCTATTGACTGGTCTTGGTTCTAAATTGATGGCCTGTGTTGGGTCATCCCACATTGTGAAGATTAGGTGGTGGCCTCTGATGAGAGTTATCTTACCCTTAGCTAGGCAAGTTTCCTCAAATTTTAATTGGAGTTCTCTTGCTTTCAGTTCATATGATCTCATTTTTTTTCTCTTGGCTTTACGCCATAAAACCCAGTATTCCGTTTCTACTTGTTGTTTGAGATTCCTCCATGCTTCCTGGGTGTGCATTAGTTGTTTGTCTATTGTTTCCTGACATCTTTTCCTCCAGATGGACCAGAGTGCTGCTTTCCGTAGGATTTGGAAAAGGTTATTTTGTAGAGGGGGGCAGTCTTCGGGAGTCGTGAATCCTAATAGAATCAGGATAGGTTTATTGTGAAGTCCGTATTGGTTATTGAGGTCCATATGTGTGATATTTTGTTCCATATGGGTTTAATCTTGGGGCAGAGGAGGAAGCAGCAGAACGGGTTCTCTATCTGTCCTTCTACGCAGTTAGCACATAGTTCATTTAGTGGGCTTCTATCTTCTTTTCTTCTTCTGACATTCAACCATTGGTTGAGGGAAACTGCTAGGTATAGGATTAACCATTGTAGGCTTTTGACTTTGGGGGGGTGTATTGTTGGGCCGAAGGCCAGAGCACGTTCCCACATATAGTGAAATTTTATTTGAGCCTAGACAACCCACTTCACGTCTTTGGATCTAGTCTTTAGTCCTCCCCGGTCGAGTGGGATTGAGAAAGAAGAGTCTTGTTTAATAACAGTTAATATATCACTCAAATGAATCGTTCTCGCTATTTGGTTCCACGGTATCACTTTCAATGTCTCCGGGTCTACTTCGCGGTGTTTCCTCCAGCTCTCGGCTATGACGAGTTGGGGTGCCACTGATCTGCATCTCAGTTTGTAGCCTATTCTGGTGGAGTAGTTGAGCAGGTTAATTGTGAGGTTGATTCCTGAGATCCTTTGCCTCAGGTTCCACGCCCATTCTGCTGGGTCTATTTCTAGATCTTCTACGACAGTTTGGGGTAGGAATATTGTGATTTTTTCATTTTCTATTACTCTGACCTTTCTGAGGTTGTCTTCCTTGACTGTAACTTGTGCTAGTGGGTCCTTGTTAACCTTGCTGTACCCGGTTCCTGGTTCTTCTTGTCTGTACATGGAGAAAGTGATCCAGTTACTCCTACCTTCTTCTTTCTTTATGAAGGCTAGTGCGTATTCGTGGGGTTTCGTTTGTGTCATTACTGCCCAGTCTCCTGCTGACCATTGTTTGTCTTTCTTGAGAGCTACCACCCACCCCGGCGGGATGACATTTGTTATCTGTTCGAGGTTTTGGGTTAGGTTGTGGCAGCCTTTGAGCTGATATCCCTTAGTTGTCTAGTGTTCTGCCATTCCTTGCTGGTGTCATCCCAGATATGCTTGATTTGCCAGATGCATCTTTCTACCCAGGTGCCCCATCTAGAGTCCTTTGTGGTGAGGGTGAAGGGGATTCCTTCCTTGTTGGCTATCCATGGATTGCAGAAGAGCGGTTGTATGAGGACTTCTTCTTTGCTGTTTGGGTGTCTTACTCTCGCAGGAAAGGCTTCTCTCCATGCCCTCAGTAATGTTTTCCAGAWGTTAAGTCTTGGTTCGTTTTGGGACTTTTTCTTTATGGTCTATGAATTACTTAAGATCCAGAAGGTACCCTCCATGTTCTCTGGTGTGTTGTAGATTGGTAGCTGTTGCAGACCTTCTAGAGCCAAGGATCTCCATGGTAGTTTGGGGCTGGTTAACAGTTTTAGGATCCACTTGGTTTGGAGAGCTTTTATTTGGATGGCCTGGTCGATAACACCTAGCCCCCCCTGGCTCTTTTTTCCTTGTTACATATTGCCACGCCAGCTTTGTGATGAAGCTCTGTCTTGACGCGTCGCCTGTCCATAGCTAGGCTATCACTTTCTTTCGTAGGTCTTCTAAGGCCCTGTGGTCTGGGGTCCAGAAGGCTGCTACGTACCACATCATCGACTAGATAGAGGTATTCAGTACCAGAGCTCTACCATGCATGAGGATCACGGGTGTTTGCCCATGTCATGCCTTCCGGGGTGTTTCGGGGAGGGTCCAGGCCGTCCTCTGCTAACCACCAGCCGACCATCTTGTTCCAGTTGATACACATTTTAGAGGCTAGCTGGTATGCACACATCGCTCTGGTCAGCGCCTCGAAGGATGAGGATGACGCTCTTATGAGTACGGTTAAGTCATCAGCAAATAGGATTGTGGGGGGAATATGATAATTGTGTGAGGTCAGGCGAGTTGATCTCAGGTTGGACTGAGAGAAAGGGGATTTAGGGGTGTATAGGGTGGGATGGTCGAAGGGGGGGACCGTAGTGGAGGAATTGCTTGCTTCCCATGAGAGAGAGTTCAGAATGGACCTAGTTGATGACGGAGGTATGGGGGCACATGGTGGTCGTGCTCCTACTGATGACAGTGACTGGAGCAAGTCTGGGTCACAGAGACTGTTTTTTTTTTTTTTTCAAGCTGCTTTTTTTTTTTTTTTTTGACTATGCTATCATCTTCTCTCAGTATGGTACCTCGCACTACCTACCCCAGACAAGCAAGGGATCAGCCGTATTTTTACCTCGGAACAGAGACTGTTGCCTTTGAAGGCATGGTCTTTTGTGGTGCCTGTTCTTCCTTGCCATATGTCGGAAGTGTTTGGTGGGCATGCTTACTGCTACTGTCTTCACCCGAATAGAATGCCCGGCAATTATCTCCGTACCTGGACTGAAAGTTGCACCAAATACTGCTATAATGACCGGGCGTTCTATTCGGGTGAAGACGGTAGCCGTCTTGGCAATTGTTGTACTGAGAATGCTCAGCTAGGTCTTCCATGTCCTCATCCATTTCATCCTTACTATGTATGGCCTCTCCATCGTTCGAGGACAGACTGATTCTCGAGCCGTCTCTTATGCTTTCCTATGCTTTCATCTTCATTCCACACTCCTTACTCCATTGCTTTGTCGTCTTTCCATCTTTTCTCTGTGTTTATACCCTCCCCCTTTTCTCCGCCTCTTTTTCAGTGTACAAGCGTACAAGTGGCTGTTATGGCACACGCGGATGTGCGCAGCTAGCGCTCAACTTTGCCACCATGGCAAGCCTTGTACGTGAACGGCACAGAAAGGGGGAGTTAGAAGAAAAAATGATCAAAAGAATGGTTTCAATGTGCTCTTCATGTTTGTCTTGTGTACTTTTATCGTTTTTTTTCCCGCAAAGTGTGCTCTGTTAGTTGATAGACATGTGACAAAATATCGATACAACCAGAGCGGCTG